GAATTATATTTGTGTGTTCCTAAGATCCCGTAGTTTTGAAATATAATGAGAAATCAACATCTTATGGCTGGTCACAAATGTTTATCTACCAATGGTGAGAACAGTAACCATGGGGTATCCCTCTTCTATGTTCGTATCAATTGCTGATTTGTCATGCATTCCCAAGGTAGCTAGGACCAGTGGTGGGTGGCTACAGGTGGTACATAATGCGACAGTCAAAAAGTGATGAATTTACTATGTGCTCCTCGTCGGGGCTGAATGGGTTGAAACAACCACTTGTACATCAATCATTCTTGTGTTCATTTCATCTGTTATAACATAAATGTCAGGCGCCCATAACACATGCCTTGTTTAACACAAGTGTATTACATTCAATCATTCTATTGTCGGCTTAACATCGTCAATAGTATCATAAATTGTCATCCTGCAAACAGAGCACATACATTTCATAGCAACCAGAAACCCATAATTGGCAGTTCCTCGAAATGTCGTTTTCCTTTCTTCTTAATGCCACACATCTAGTATTCATACTAATTCACACAGATATTATTCAGGAAATGTCAAATTATTGACAGGTTGTAGATTAGGGACTTATTCATAGCTTCGTCAAAATAATTGTAGCTTTGGTTGGTCGTTTTTCACGCATTGTTCTGACAACTAACGTTCCTAGCAAGTCCGTATAAACTTGGTGCTGTCTGTCAAACAGGTGTTAGGTTGGTGCTATGTGTGTTCTGTACAAGAAGTAGGTCTTTAGAAGCTGATATCGAAAAGAAATCCATAAAGAGCGTCGATAGACATATGTAACATACAGATGTAAGGTAATCACTGTTGGAGATAAGACTACGTCCATAATAAGCTTCGTTACTACTATTGGGCGTGTACTGTTCGGAGAAAGTCGTTTTGCTGAAACGGCTAGCCATCTTTTTTCGAAAGAATACGATGTCTTTCTTCGTCTTCATAGTCTCATTGCATTCCGTTATTCCTGTGGAATTACCAAGCAATAGGGTCGTATACGCAAACACGAAATAGCCTGAACTTTCAGCATGACATATTACACTTCATCATTGTTGTACTCACGTATATGACTGATATCATTAAGCTACTTCCTAATGTACTTTTTCTGAAGTACATGTATAGAACTGATGGTAACATCTACATGTACAAATATGCGTGTCCACTAAATGTTCTGCGTTTTACGTGTAACTAAACTTTTAATCGAAAGTGTTACTGTTTCCTAGATCCACTGTTTATCCATGGTAGGTACAAAGGTATATGCATGAATACTATGGAAATAGCAAGACTATATTGATCAATGTAAGAAATGTGGGCGATTTTTAAGCAATTTAGGATGATGTGTTAGGGTCCTTGAATAATTAGGAGCATTACATAGCAGAATTAGGCCCAGCATGATAGTCGGCACAAATACCTGAACTAAAAACAATAAAAAATGTCGACGAACTTGGAAAAATAGCGGCCATCTTGATCGTTATTATTTTTTAGTTACCTGAGGCGTCCGACCATGAAAACATCTGCTCTTTTTGAGAGCACAAGCAACGAACTACGGGATAACTGGCGACTATATTGATTGTTGTGTTACTAATTAGTTATCATAAAGAGACCGATCATGCAAATTCCTGCGCTTGTATAACCATTTGAACAATCATACCTATCATCTGCCCCACTGTGTGAAACCTTGATAAATGGAATCCCTTAACTGGAACACCTGGTGTCACCACTGATTTTCACAGACCCATCCATACAACTTTCACCACTATTTCGCCTTTTAAGCCCAATGGAACCTGTTTCGAGAGATTTTGGAGACCGATTTTTCTCTGGCGTTGACGTTAACTATTAAAACAAACATAACGTATAAAACGAGGTTACAGTATGATCCTGTTCGGCACTAGATGTACGGTCTCAAATGTTGACACTGGATTACGGACTCATTTTACGACATTAGATCTATTAGATCAGGGATATTTGATGAAAGGTACAATTCAACATTTGAAAGTGACTTAAACTGTACATAGTACCTACACTTTGATGAACTGACTTCCCATAACATGTGTTTATGACGGGTGACATCGCTTGGGCACGAAAGCTTACATCTTGTATCATCACTATTTTATTGTGATACTTGAACACATTCTTATGTTACAGTCGGAATCGTATTTTAATGGATATTTCTTATGATTATGGAAAGGGGGTGCCCCTTTTATTTATACTTTTTGCGCCTTATACACGTTGATTCATTTGGTTCATACGTCTAAAATTTTGTGATGTCCTCGCGAAAACAATGGCTATAAAATCAACGTCATCTGATCCCAAACGGTCTTCGGTTGAAATGTAACTATACCTATACACGTAGTTAAACAATAAAAGATCCTTCGCTCATCTTCAAGACTCATTAGATCCAATGTGAGTCTCAAATCCCTCCATTAACGTAAGTATGCGTGACATGCGCATGTATCGTGTTGTGACTAGCTTTTCAGGCTCGATTGTTGCCAGTATTTTAGAACTCTCCAGAGTTTAAGCGCTTACCAGGGAGAGTGTGTAACCAGCTGTAATGTTTATGTTCGTCGCGTTTTTCGAAATGTAGTTTTGTACAGATTGGAAGAGCCCTAGGATAGATCAGTTTCACGACGAGGGGTGTTTGCCAGGATCGTTCAGCGGTTATTCTGTGTCTTAATGAATTTACTGCATTCAATTTGAAAGATTTTCTCTAGGATTCAGTAATACCTAAAAGGGTTATTTGAAGTGAAAAGAAGTGACACACATTAAACACTATTGGAAGGAATGAAGTACGAAAGATAGGTGCTATCATACTTTGATCCAGATAACAACGGTTGCATAATTGTAAGTGTAGAGAAATATTTTAATGTTAAATTACTTGTCGAACTGGATTTTGAACATTCTTATTCATCTGAGTGAGCGAGAACGGTTTTACGAATTGTTTTAGCAATCTTGCAGCAATATCATGGCGGGGAACTCTAGGAATGTTCGTCACATGTTGGTAATTGAAATGTGACGAGCGAATGACCAACCACAATCCCCATTATCCATGTAGATGTTAACGAAATACAAACGCGTAAGAGTATGGTTTTACGCCGCTTTTAGCAATATTCCTGTATATTACGGAAGGGGACACCAGAATTGGGCATCGAACATTATACCCATGGGGGGAATCGAACCCGGGTCCTCGACGGGACGAGCGAACGCTTTAATCACTAGATATTTCTATACATGTAGATGTTTGTTCACGTACATATATCCCGATAAGTGCTGCATGTATTATTCTTCCAGTGTTAATTAATAAACGACATGTCAGGTAAAGGCCAATTGTGTAATTTCAGAAAAGAGCACATTATTATAAAAGTGAGTGAGTGAATTAGGTTTAAAGCCGCCGAATAGTATTTCAGTTATATCACGGCGTGCCAGCCTGATGTAAGAGGAAACATAAGCGACAAAAAAATCCATAATCGTCAGAAATCTCTGCAAAAAGCACATATTACGATTCCAACTGTATCATAAGCATGTGTTTATGAATCACTACCAAATAGGGATGATACCAGGTGGAAGTGATGCATGCCTTAAACGTTTACCGCTTTGATAATTCGAACCAACCATGATATGTCTCTGGCACGTCTAAAGGACGAAACTCTTCTCAGCGAATTACTGCGCCTAAGACAATGGGCCACCAGTGTCCAATTAATATAATGGCATACGTCCTGGGAGAAGAAATTACTGGCAGTAAGGCTAATCATGTATAATATAACTTTATTTTCTCAGGCTACAAATTTGTCAACATTATATAAATTTGAATTTGAACATTAATGCTCAGTGCTGAGTATGCTTACTTATCTTATCGTCCAGGAAGTGTAAGTCAGTAAATGATCTTGGAATATCGTGGCTGTTCTCATACCGCATGGTGTGATATACCATCCTCAAGGGCATGTCATGCTACAGTACGATTCAGCTATCATTCTTTTTGCGCTGTATACTTGTAAATATTTCATTTGATACCCTATTATCTGTGCGTGGAAAAGCTTAATTACCCGAACCATACGTGACTCTAGAGTGAACGTAGAGATGAATCGGTTTATAACATCCGTTTCTGTATAAATCACTTTAGCCAGTGTGTATATATCAACGTCAGAGTGTTAACAAACAATAGTTAATACTCCCTTTCATTTATTCCCATCTCCAAGAGTTGCAAAAAAATCATTAATATGTATTGTTGGATGAAAGACATTGAGTGAAACGAAAGAATTACCAGTATTCCTGGCGACGTTGTTCCGTACAGACAACACTTGCAGCTATAAACTTAACCTCAATGGAGTTTATAGTAAAAGATGAAAAGCTGATAAGCAGGATATGCTCACCAACTGTTAATCTACGAACGCTCTCGGTCAGAGGGTTAAGAGTGAGCAACTTGAAGAAAATGATGATTATTGATTGGATATTTAAAATATTCAAGGTATTCTATTCTACAAAGTAAAAAACTCAGACTACATTACTAAAGTAGTTTCACACTTGTGGTAGTAGTTTTTCGAGATGCGGGAATGCTGTAGGAGAATAGTGAAGCTAACATACAAAAGTACTGTCGACTCGTACAAGTTGTTTCATTTAGTATTACAAATATACATACATAATGACCAAGCATACAATTTTCTCTTAGCTCAGGAAATATTTGGTGTGGAATTGTTGAGACGGGTGTTCATTAAAAATCTATGTTGTGAAAGTGGTAAATTCAAAACGTGAATACTCCATAATGAAAACATTGAATCTAAACGAGCATAATCTCCAATAAATTATTTCAGGGACTATCACGGTCATGCATACATGCATTAAGAATTGAGAAACAAGAACAGGCTTATATTATGTCTGCTGTGACTCTGCAAACTCGAAACGCATTGAACAAATAGCATCCAACTTATCAAGTTGACACTGTACATGACATGAATATATATACTAATAAAGAGTAAGCAAAACACTCTTACCTTCCAAGTTTTGAAACGTGTCAAGTGTGTGTGACGTCTATAAGCCCGATATATAGTTCTGGATAGTTTCTTAGACACGAGATGACTTCGCTAACCTAGGCAAGAGCACCACTTGTTCCTTATCTGTAAACGTCGACTATTACCAACAAGCGCCAATCACAGAGCACAGGCAGCGACGTCTGTGAGAGTATATCTCTTCACCGCTGTAACTGCGGTCCTAACGATTTCAGGGTTGAACGCCAGCCGACAAGGTGTTTCTGCTGGCGGCAGTCAACAGAGAAGAGAAGAAGCCATCGTGATGAAACGAGCACTCGATAGGTGTCTTTCTCCCACATGTTTCCTAGACATAATTAAAGGACGGTGTTTCTTGCAAAAAATGTTTTCCGATAGAAAACAAAAGTATTTTGCATAGTCTTTTGTTGCAAAATGTTAAACGTGTAATTTCGGAAAGGCATGTTTTCTTAGTGGTGAGTCAAGACATCATTCAATTAACGAGAAGAATAGCAATTTGAACGTGTATGCTAATAGCAATGTAATGACGGGTTGACATGCCAGTTCGATCAGCCTCGAACTTGACCAGATCAATCCCTTTCAAGGAATAAGTCCTGATTTGTGTCAATGTAATTAGTGTTTGAACGAACGTAATTGACAAGCATGCCTCTATGCGTGTCCAGCAATTGAAGAATGACTGGCGTATCAATACACGCTGTTTTAAATCCTACAGGAGACTATTGTCTTTCATTTTCCCCTAATGAATTGTGACAGAAGACGGCATCTGATGATCATGGAGACTGATGTTGAGTGTTGACATATTTTTTGCCAAACATTACCTTGAGTGCAGAACTAGACATGCCACGAACACAGTCGAGATAACGGAGGAGAAATAAACACTGCATAAATAGTGGTAATGGTATTTGCTGACGTCACATCCACGTGTTACGTATATTAAAGATCACAGTTGATGTAGCGTCAGTGTTTTTTCACCCTCTTTTAAAGAACATCCCCGGTGAAGAATTCCTACTGCAAGCTATAGGTGCATTTACTGTAATGCCGTGCACCATGTCTTAAGTGACATTGAACTTGCACCGTAATATAAAATATAGTGGTATCGCCATACGCTACTAGATGCTGGTTAGCCAGTAGGTAGTTATAGGAGACGGTTAGTTGACTTGCATCCGGTTTTGTAATCTCTCCCTGCTTGCTTCCAGCAGTCTCACTTTGATCCTCTCGCAATAAAATAGCCGGAAATCCTGTTTTTCTTCATCACAAACAGCCATAGGCCCAGGGCGTCATGATCGTGCACTTCACATCATATGCGCAGTCGGAATAGTGTCATTCAAACTCGCGTGCAATGGCATATTGTCTGAATAACAACGTGATTTGCCAAATATTTTGTTTTTAAACCAGCTTTCTTGTTTTCTCAACAATACAATCAAGCTAATGGATGCATCAATTGCTTTGTTTGATGCTCATATTACCAAAGCACGTGTCAAAATGTCAAATATTTTGATTTGCTCGTATGGTATTTTCTAAAGTAAATATTTATACGCGTTTCTATCTTAGTTTCTATAATGTTCATTTTACCGCTAATGGACATAACATTGCTATGATAACTAAATTGCCTCTAGATAAATAGTGATGATTATTAGAACGTTCTGCCAACACATTTAATTCCATTTCTCATCAAACTATACAAACAGATAATATTGTATACTCCATATCTGAGGACGATATGATCTTTAACCTTCAGCTGTGAGTGAGTGAGTGAGTGAGTATGGTCTTTACGCCGCTTTTATTCCAGCAATATCACGGCTGGGGACACCAGAAATGGGCTTCACACTTTGTACCCATGTCGGGAATCGAACCCGGGTCTTCGGCGTGACGAGCGAACGCCTTAACCACTAGGCTACCCGACCGCCCCCCCCCCCCCCCCCCCCCCCCCCTTCTGCTGTGTACATGTTTGGCAAACAAAAGCCAGCCCTTAAAATAAGTATTAAATTTGTTTCAAACGATTGACAATGTAATGTTTAGCTTCTTAGAAATAGTCATGACAAGAGTAAAGTTAACCCAGTCTTGATTAGCCAGCGAAAAAGATGCCATTGAGTATAAAATTTAAAATAGCGGTGAAAAGAATATGACTAGATCACTGAAAATGAATGATGACAGCAGGTATTCGCGGCAAGGGTAAGCATGTCCTGCTCTACCGGTAGTACCCGGTGACCATGAACAATATGACAATATAGAACCTGAGTTTGCTAGATATTGAAATCATTTAGTGTAAAAAAAAGGATATTTCCATACATTTGGTAAAAGATGTCAATACATTCCGCAACCGGCTTTATACTAAGATCAATTAAACTATTTGATCATGAACTGGTTCCACAGGTTTAAATGACTTCCGAGACAGATCTGCGGTTCGTTACAGTGGTAAATATCTGTGACCTGCATCACTTTGGCCTTCCTTGCCACAATACGCTCATATAACTTTTGTACTTTGTAAAGGGGCGTGAAACCCAACCACTTAACCTCCTTCATTAAATCATTGACGACACAGACAATGGATAGATAATCTCAACACATATCTACCTTATATTTCATATCTGTATTCTGTACCGGCATCAAATGGTGATAAGCACAAAATGAAACGTAACAAAACATGATCGCACTCGGTCGTGACCAAAACAACTTCTTGCCTTCACATGTGTTCATGACATGTGTCACCGGTGAAGATTCCGGGGTAGAATAGGTCTTCAGCAACCCATCCTTGCCGTAAAAGATGACTATGCTTGTCGTAAAAAGGCGACATACGGGATCAGTAGGTCAGGCTCGCTGACTTGGTTGATGCATGTCATCGATCCCAATTGCGTGGATCGATGCTCATGATATTCAGACTCGATTATTTACGGACCGCCGTCATATAGCTGGATATTGCTGAGTGTGGCGTTAAACAACAAACAAACAAACATGACGAGTGCCACCGGTTGGGATATGATATATACGCTCACCTTTTCGCGAACACCTGGCATCGTCACTACTGACAGTGATAATCATTCATAAACACATGCTTGTGATAGTGTTGGAATTGTACAATGAACTCTGATTTTTGCAGATATAACTTATGATAATGGAAATGATTTTCCCGCTTCCGTTTACAATATACACCAGATACTTAAAATTGTGAACGAAACTGAAACTGCAACACAATATACGCATGCTGTCTCAATATACATTGTACCAATCACTCTCATTTCAATTAATGTCATAAACACAACACAATACTCACACTCAGATAGCAATAATTATCCTCCACATATTCGATCCATTCTCTTGTATCAGTACATTCACACACAAGAAGGGTCATAGACGCCTTATAAGTAGTCACACAATACCGTCAGTTATCATTAAATGTCTCTCACACACACACTATCTAATTCATTCTCAGCTATCAATTACAGGTCTTCTACACGAGATGCCATTGTTTTGCATGTATCACGTATCAATGAAGCCTAATTCAATATATTAATACTAGTAGTCATTCTAAGATTTAAATTAATGTCAAACATACAATGCACACATTTCCCGGATCACAATCTGCCAACTATTTGCAGATCTAGATGCCAGTTTAATGACTCAACTGAAACATATGCATAACCTGTGGTTCAAAAGTAAGTATAACGGCTCGTTTTTTTACGTAATTGAAAAATAAAAGAAGTATGGATAAATTTAACCATGGCTTTTTACCCATCAATAATTACTGCAACAGTTTGTAAAAAGTAATCTTTGGCTGGGTAATTTTGAGATGGGTCTGTTTCTAGAAGGCTGGATGTACCTATAATAAGAGCGACAAGAGAGCGAATCTAAGCCTTTTTGACCTGACCTGCGCATGCCAGATTCTAACACTATTCTGGATTCACGAAATGAGTGAGTGAGTTGGGTTTAACGCCGCTTTTAACAGTATTCCAGTTACATCGCGGCGTGTCAGTTTAACTTGGGAGGAAAGCCCGAAGTGATGCAGGTCTCAGACGTTTACCACTTCGGTGAAACCCACAAGCACGGGTATGGTGTTGACAAATCTAGAAACATAATCGGGGCGAACCGGGATTCGACCCCACAATTATAGGTTTCTGGCTTGCCCAAGGGACGCAACTCTGCAAAGGGAATCGCGGCGACTTAGACGACTGGGCCACCCGTGCCCCCTCACGAAATGAAAATTCTTGGCATTCGTTAGTGCACTTGCATTAATTCTAGGGTCTGTTAATATTTATTGTTGCTAACACTTATTGGACCCTTAGTATTGCCCTTTATTATTATCCTAAACCTACATAAATTGAGTGTTTCAATATAATTTGTGCGAACCGATTTCTGGTATAATCTCTGCGTTTCAATTTGTGGAAATCCCCTCGTAATAACTTCAAGAGATCTCCCATGTGCAGATGAACACTATCGGTTGTGGGTGATGTTCTCAGCATGTCTTGAGTAATATGAAACCCGAAACATGACACATTTCCAGCTTGCCATTAAAATTATAAATATAATCGGATCTGATGCAATTATGCACGACATTTCGACTAAGCCTATTGACGTGCCTGTTTCATATAACAATATCACGTGCTTTATGAGAGAAAAACTCTTTTCGTTTGAGGATATCCGGCTTCATTTTCTACATCAAAGTCAGTTTTGTGAAAATAGCGAAAGATATGAAGCGAATAAATGATGGAAATGACGCACTGAGAGATTAAATTGCCAGAAGTTATTGCTGCAAATCTCAGTTGGATGAAATATTTAAACATATCTGTCTAGATGTTTTTTAGTGGACTTGAATAGTTTTATTGCCCCTCTCCGCTGTGCCGTAGACGAAGCTAATGTTTTATTATTTGATCCAAGAACAGTAAATGCATTCATCATATAGGAATAAACATGTTGTTTTATTGATTTAAATTGAATATTTGACGTCAAAATTTAATGACAAATGATATCGAAGATATCGTAGTAATAGAATGGTGAGGTGAAATGGGGTTTAACGTCGCGTTCAAGATTATTGCACTTTATTAGCGACGTGCATGTGTATGTTTGTGTGTGTGTGTGTGTGTGTGTGTGTGTGTGTGTGTGTGTGTGTGTGTGTGTGTGTGTGTGTGTGTGTGGGTGGGTGGGTGTGTGTGGGTGTGGCTGCTTGTACTTGTCTGGACTAATGTCGA